ACACACACACATATATATATACACACACACATATATGAAGGCCAAGTAGAACCTGTATTACAACAGTTCTTGGTAAGACCCACAGTCATACTCAGGAGATCCATGAATGTAAATGGCAAAAAGTTGCATCTTTTATTTTCACTTACCTCTAACTGGAATTTAGCATAGCCTCTCATTATAAATGTAGAGGGCAAACTATAACAAAGTTGGCAGTAGTACCTGTGTCACTGTCACCAATGGAAGTGGAAGCTGTTACTTCACAGTTGTTGCCAATATCTCCAAGAATTATTTATGTTCATTATATTTTCAAAAATATTACTTGATCTGCTATTTTTTTACCAGGTTAGTACATAAACACATATATCCTAATAGCACAATGTGTGTGTGGGTGGTGCTGGGGTTTAAGCCGAGGGTCCCACACATGCTAAGCATGTGCTCTACCACCCCTGAACTACATCTCCAGCCTCACAAATTTATGGGGTTATTTTATCTACTTTTGTTTTGAAACAAGTTCTCACTGTGTTGTCCAGGCTGGCCTTGAACTCCTGACCTCAATTCTCTCATCTCTCTCCTCCCCCTTCCCCACCTTCAAATAAATCATCTTTTTTTAAAAAAAAATTAGCTTTTAAATCTCTGATAACCATATTCAGTATCATTTCTTTTACATATTTAAAACATACTTTGGAGGAAGGATTCTACTTCAACAGACTGCCAGAAGGATCTGTGACATAAAAACAAATCAACAACCCCTGCTGTATTAACAATTTAATGTCTAGCTTTTTATTAATGTCATTGTATGTAATTATGCTTTGTATATAATAATTATATGGATATATACTTACATGTATAGATACATATATGCACATACACCATTTTTTTATTCAATAAATGATCTCCCCCTCTGTACATATCAAATTTCTTAAAGTTTCCAAGCTTATTTAGTTAATTTTATCTAGAGTTCAGACAGTGTGTCGAAAAACCTTTCTTTCTTTAAACCAACGATTATGCTTTTGGTCTCTCTGTTCACAGAGATTCTAACATTGGTCTCAAGGTCAGAGGACTATAGATATTTTAAGAAAGAAAAAAAAATTGGTTCCTTAGCAGAGACTTTCTGTTCCAAATTTGTCATCTTACTTGGGCAGTGCTTTGGGCCTGATATGATTTTCCAGAGCACTGTGTCTCCCGGCAGGTTTGCCCTTGAGCCTAGGGAGCTGGGCACTGCACGCAAGATCCTTGTGATTGTTTTCAAACGCTCCAGCATTAGTCCTGTAGGAATGTAGACATTTGCCCAGGTATTAACATTGCATTTCCAGTGAGTACGATTTTTTCCTCTCTCAAATGAATCAAAATAGGGTAAACCACTAGTAATGACCGTGGTGAGCATCAGGTGTAGTTTTGAAGGTTATAAGTGAAAGTTCAGTAGCTTGGCATGTACTTTAACTATTGCTGTCTTACAGGCTCATCAGTTAGCATCCATGCAAGCACAGGCTTATAATGGGGGGAACGCCAACCCTCCATCTGCCAATAATGAGGAAGAGGAAGATGAAGAAGATGAATATGATTATGACTATGAATCCCTTTCTGACGGTAAGAGAAACAGAGCCCAGTGCTGTACAAGAACATGGTTGGATGATTTTCCGTTTTTTTTTTTTCCAGAAACTAAGTCGAGTCCATAAATGAACAACACAGATTGTTGTAACATTGTGTGAGAGTTTCTGAACCCAGTTGCTTAGCAAGGACCAAGGAAGGAAAAGGATTCTGTTAGCCACCACAGCCATAGCACAAGAAGAGGATGGTGTAGAAAGAAACGCTGTGTGGGGGTCAGGAGGGATGATCGCTAAATTGAGTTTCTCGAGGAAAGATGAAATGATGTCAGAGAGGATCTGCTTTCATCCTTTCGTTTTCTGATGTGGCTGAGGCTCTTGGTAGGAATTTTAACTGTGACTAAATCCTGTCTCCAGCACCACCTGCAGGGGGCGGCATCACCACTCTGCTCCATCTGTTCCGCATTGCCCGCTCTTACTCTGGCATTCTAGAGTATAGAAAAGAAGGGTACCTCTGTCCCCTTCCTGTCCCGGTTCTCAGATGACAAGCAACAAGACATTTTCTTCTAGCCCCCACCGAAGAGAAGAAACAGGAATGATGGCTAGTGACGCAATACAAAATAGCCACATAAATGGCATTAGCCGCATATTACTAGGAAGGCTTCTTCCTCTGTGAGAGCTAGGTTTCAAGTGTATTTCATTTGAACAAAATTAGTGTCATTTGCTGGAGTTTGCCAAATGTTTTCTCTAGCACCGTTGCTGATAGTGGACTGTTTTATTTTGGCAACTTCTGAAAGACATCAACATATTAATGAGAAAATGCCAAGTTTCCTATTTGTATAAACATAATGTGCTTAGAGTATGCTTTTATTTTTTTTTGGGGGGGGGGGGTTCTCTGGTACCGGGAACCGAACTCACTACCTTGTGCTTGCCAGGCAAGGCGCTTTGCCGCTGAGCTAAATCCCCAGCCCCGTAGAGTATGCTTTTATATAGGCCAATTCTTTTGTTAGCTATGTAGATATCCCCTATCTAGCCACCACTTGCCACCGATGTTGAGGTATCTGCTCTAAGTATCTAAGGTACTCCTCTAAGTATCTGCTTCTCACACTCAGTTGTCTTCAGTCATATTTGAGTTCCACAAATCTTCATCACCAGTGACAAGTCCAGTATTTTTCTTCCCCCAATGGCTCTATTTAACATTTGTCCTTCACTATAGTTGATTGATTCATGATATCAACTCAAGGCCAATTTATTCACCTGAAACTCTACAAGACAAGGGGCCTATCTTATTAGATAATATGAAGGATAAATTAAAAGGAGTCGGGACAGTTTATTTACAGCCTATTCCTCAAAAGTCATGGGAATGTGGACCTTTTTATATAGACATATTCTTCCCCATGGATTTCTACTACAATTGAGGTAATTTCTATAGAAGAGCAAATTGATTCAGAAGGTGATATGAAAACCACACTTAAGAAATCAACCAATCCATCTGTGTCATTTGCCTCCATAAGACATTAGTTCACTGGAAGAAAAATTCACTCACTATCATAAATTAATCCTGTGTTTTTTTGTACTTTTGAAAACAAGAAAATAAGTGGCTTTTTAAAATCATTATTATTATAAATGTTTTTTATTTGCTAATAACAAACCAGTGGGAGAAGGCTCGTGATTTATTTTCAATTTGGAGAATAAAATTTAATCTTAACCACTGAATTTCTAAGACAGTTACATGCATTTTTTTAAAACCCTCACATGCTAGGTTGGGGGTATCAGTAGACAATAGGGTGCCCCCAGTCTGCTCCAGAGGTCTGTGAAAACTTGGGCAATATCTTTTTACCACTCTCAGGCTTAGATCCTTTACAGGGTAATGAAAAATTTCTGTGAAGTGTTTGGTGAAGCTCCTCCCTCACTTGTAGCACTAATATCCATAACCTATGACAGCTTAAAGTCCATTACCACCATATGGTATTTCCCAGCTCACTGAAGTCTTCTGACTGGCTAATTCCCAAACAACCCTTGCAGGTTTTACATGCCTTATGGAAGCTTGTCCTCTGAAGGCATCCTTATGCTACTGTTATGTGTAGTAATTCTAGCCACAGAATTATTTCAAGAAACCCCCAAGGAGATTGGCAAATGAGGGTCATGCATTTTAGGACTTGTTACTCTCTGTTGGATTATAAATTTTTCATGAATATTTATTTCACTGAATTTTATCCCCCCAAACCTTGTTTACCTTGATTAGTTTTGACCACACACTAGAGCACAAGTTTGAATTTACAACTTAATGTAGGCATGTTCTATGATAGTGCATGATTCTAACAAATTAATTGATATTTGTTCATTTGAAATAAAGTCAGACTGGAGTAATACAACAGTCAGTAACTGAGAATATGTAGTATGATTGTGGCAACCACTGGCATGATTAACAATGGTGGTATATTTTTACTGCTAGCCCTTGCATACTTTAATAGTCACAACATTAAATCTATAGACCATTTCTTGTTTCTGTTATCTTGTAACCTAAGCTGTTATTTATGCTCCACTTCCTGCCTTGGTTTAATTTATCTGGCTTTTTGTCTTAATTTTCCTTACTTGTATACCCCTTCTGATTCTGTTTTTCTGTGGCAGATGTCCTTACTGCTTCCCCTTCTCCTAACGGTCAGGTTACACTATTTGAAGGTAAACACTATCTGAACTGGGCTTCCCCATTTTAGCTGCATGGATGTCACATTCTGTTTCCAATTTCTTGGGCCTGATTAGCATAAAGTTAATGCACTCTGTGAATATAAATGTAATGAAATGATTGATCTCACTTCCTTCTTGGCAGCCTGCATGGCCATGATTTGTTATAAAGATATTTTGGTCTAAGCATTTGTGACCCAGTGAGATAATAAATTTTACTTGAGAAATCAGCTTTCTTGTTTTACATTTTAAAAGAGTATAATCATGATATACTACTAACACTTTTACAGTCATTCTGGATAGAAACGCCAATAAAACCAAAGAATAAGATTATCTCTCATGCCTAGGTATATTTATATATGTTTTAATTACTGTTACTATCACTTAATAATCAATAACAATCATGAAAATTTATTTTGCAATTAATTTATAATTGTAGAAACTGCATTGTACATAACGTTCTGTACACACACACACACACAGGTTTTGACATTTCTCAAGGTAAAAAAAACAAATAGCTTCATTTCAAAGTAAATCATGTATGTATTATCTAAAAGTGTTTCAACCACCAAACCCTTCCTAAAGTTGTGTGCCATCAGCCTCTTGACATAAAATATCTCCCCTCATAGTTGCACAGTTCCAGTCATCTGTATGAAAATTAGCATTCTCATTTACATGATGTCTATATGGTACCAAAACTACTGGTAAATGAGTCAGTTTAACTGAAATCAAATACATCAACCCAATTTTTGAAATTATGCTTCAAGCCATTATTTCGGTGAATGTAGCCAAAGCCTTAGTCTTGCAGATAAGTACAAGTAGTTGGATGTCCTTCCAAGGATGTTCATGCAGCTCTTAAATGAAGCATTCAGTTCTTTTTCACTAAAACCTGCTAACTTACCTTCAGACAACATTCTGGAAGACAGACCTGAAAATAAATCGTGCAATGACAAGCTTCAGTTTGAGTACAATGAAGAAATCCCCAAGAGGATAAAGAAAGCGGATAACTCTACTTACAACAAAGGGAAGGTAAGTAAATGGTTTCTGTCAAGTGATTCTTGGACAGTGGCTCCCTTATCACTTTCAGGTAGGATTCCACCTCCTCCCTATCCTTTCTCTTCACCTTCACCTCTGTCCCTTAATGCCAGCGCCCCTGGGGTGATAATACAGGATACCTACCTGCCACTGGTGAAGGATGTTCATTGATTCATCCAACCAATATCTACCAACATGTGTGACAGGCCCTCAAGCAGCACAGGAGCTGATCTAGTGGTGGAGACAGACTGTAGACAAATGCAAAGAGCAGTGATCTCACTGTGTTATTGGAGAGTGATGGACAGGCTCTTGGGGAAGATTATGCTGGAGAAGGACAGTCTGGCCAATGAGACAAAAACAGGGCATTCAGTCAGCCTAAGGAGCAGCCTGGTTGTTCGGGGAATTGCAAGAAGCTTTAAAGACATTTAGGATAATGCCTTAAAAGATACATGGGGGCCAGACTGTGAGGTGTTAACAGAGGTTGGACACAGAGAATGAAAGACTGTTCCATGTGTGGTGGATTATGGGACATAATGGGGGACATGAAGGATAAATTAGATTTGCCCCTTGCCCTCAGAAAGCTTTTACTTCAGGAAAGGTGTTAGAACATGAATGTGGATAAATACCGAACAAGGCAAGCGCACGGGGACACCAGAGAAGTACAGGTAAAATCCTCTAGAGGTTCAAAAGTGAGCCGCATGTACCTCCCATTTAAAATGGTATCATTTTCCCATGATAGGTTTATGACATGGAACTGGGAGAAGAATTTTATCTCCCTCAGAATAAAAAAGAAAGCAGACAGATTGCACCAGAGCTTTCTGACCTTGTCATCTACTGCCAAGCAGTAAAATTTCCAGGTAAGAGTAGACACGTTGTCATAACATTTAAAGATACCAAGTTATGAATGTTTCCTGTTTATCTAATTGGGTATTTGAACACTGTGAAATAACTAAACAGTGTGCTCAAAATAATGGTTATAATGTCTTATAAACATAAGCAAATTATAATGTCTTACACTGTCCATTATAATTGGCTTTGATACATATGTGGATAAATACCATAAAAATTCATTTTCCAGACCCAATAATGTTTTATCAAAAAAGTTAATATTTATAATATCTGTATTATAGATTAAAATGTATTAGACACTTAAGTACTAGATTTTATGCTAAGTATTTTACATAGATATCTTTGTCTATTCATAATAATTCTGTGAGGTTGGTGATGTTATCCCCATTTTTAAGTCAAACAAAATCTGACATAAAATAATTTGCCCAAGGTTTCAGAACATATCAATTAAGATTCTTGTTTGAGAGGTGCAAAAATTGATATTATTTTGGTAACATGTAGCCAAAGAGGAAAACTTACTGACTCATGTATTGAACGTATAGAGGGATGATATACAAGTTTCAGGTACAGCCTAACCCAGGGAACATACCTTTTCTCTGCCTGTGTGTCACTCTACAGCCACTATGTTGGCTTTATTCCCCATGTGGTTGCAAGATAGCTGTACCACACCAACACTTCATGCTTCCAGACTCAGCTTTGATATAATGAGAGTTCCCTTAGAGCTTCAAGCAGAAGTGTAATTGTTTCTCATTGGGTTCTTTGCCTAAACCCTAAGCAATCACTGTAGTTAAGGAGATGCAGTGGTCTGATAGCCTGGGGCCTATGTCACATGCTCCATCCCTGAGGCTCCACCCAAACCATGAGGATCAAGGATGGTGTTGTGGTGGGGGAGGAAGTTTTCCCAATTGGGTATTTCTAGAACTACAGTGAACTTATGGTGATGCGCTACATCATCAAAAGAGTATTCATTTCATTTAGTAAATGGTAGATCTATGATTCTGAAGTCTATCTCCAAAGTCCTGCTGTGAATCACACACAACCCTGCCTCTCCTGATTCTCCTGATACAGTATGTTATCAGTGAGCTCACCTGATTATGTGTCCCACAAATGGGAGACCAAGAGAAAAGTCAAAAAAGCCCATAAGTATATGGAAGTGAGAAAAAGCCACTTTCTCATACCAGGTAAAACGGTTGCCTTCCACAAGATTTTTGAGGACAGGAAAAGGCTGGTTGGAGATCAGTCTGACTGTGAAAGAGGGCCATGTACTTGACCTGGAGAGGGGAGTCAAAAGGCCAGCCCTCGTCTTCTCAAGATGCTCGTAACTCAGGTCCTGGCTTCTAGAGTTTAGCTGAAGCACTTGTTCTCAGACTATGCTAGCCAATGGCACAGAGATACTGGACTATTTAAAAAATTAGATAATAGTGACCTTTTCACATACACCGGGGAAGGGAGGAATCATAGACAAAATTTTCTTAATTTTAAGTTTTTTCCCAGCAACTGGTTTTAAACTTTGGGAAGGTGCTACTGCTTCTCAGCTAGCAAACACTGTGGCAGAAGATATGAGCATACAAGTGGTAACAAAGATTTCAAAGAAATGCAAGAAGCTAGCATTTACATGTGGTTTTACTGAGCCTGACCTTATGTCATGTAAGTGCATTATAATCGTACTCGCACATAGTGAGACTGTTTGATGGTGGAAGGAAATCCTTTACTTGCCATGGCGTACATATCCTCTGTGTTGGGATCAAGTGTAAAGGTCACACTGTTCAAGAACCACACCACATCTCTTATGCTGTACAAATGTAGGTGACAGTACATATATGTAAACTGAGAAATTAAGGAGCATAGAGTCCCGTAGATATGTGAAGTCAGTTAGGTCTCTGTACCATTAGAGAATCGTGGAATGGTCAAGAAGTCATTTGGTCCAGCTTCTGACTTAAGGCACAAGCTAAGCATGTGGTTGGTTGGCATATCTTTAAAATTCCAAGTATGTTGTTTAAATGTGTTTATATAATACATATAATTGTGTTGTTGGAATCACTGTTATAATACTTTCTAAACATTTATTGTTATCATAATTTTGATGTGCATGAGAAAAATACCATAAAATGTTCATCTTATTACTCTAGTAATTCTGAAAAGTTTAATCGATAACTTACATTATCAGTCTCAATATGTCTCACGTGTCACCCCCCCAAGTCCCCTCTGAAGAAATGTGAAACACCTACATAGCAGTGTCCCAAGGGCCACAGAAGCAAAGTGACTTCTCCACGATCAGAAACCTGTTCAGTGGCAGGGCCACAGCCAGAACTCAGGTGTCTCAGTTCCCAGTGCTGTGTTCTTTTCACTACATTATCACTGGTTTGACTTACGGCCAGGGACCTTTAGCTACCCATTCCCCATGACTTTGGCCAAAGCAGAGTCCCTCTCTGAGCTTCAGTTTACTCACCCTAACATTTATGCTCTTAAACAGTACTGCATTCTGTCTTCTCTGATGATGTTCTTGGAAAGTATATTTTCATATTACAGAAGACCTCCTATTCCTGCTTCAAATTACTCTCCAGCAGTGCAATTACAGACAATGGGAATGATTTGGAGGCAACTCTGGTTTCACTGGAGTCTTTAAATCACTCTTCTTACACTGGAGCCAGGTCTGTGTAGTGTGCTTCACTTCCTTATCCAACAAATAATGTACTAAGATCCTCTATGTGCCAGGCACTATGCCAGGCTGAAGGATCCAGCGAGTTCTTGGATCAGAAGTGAGAAAGAGGAGCCATGAAACTTCATTCTCATTTTAATATATTTCCCATTTAAGCCTCAGACTAACCCTATCAGTGAATTCCTATAATCACACCCATTTTGTAGATAACTGGGAGCTGAAGGTTAGAGAAGTAAGAGTATTAAGTGTTGGCTCAGACCAAACCTATTGAACCTCTGCAAAATGATGCTAAAGCTTGATTTTATAGCCATTGTTTCATCTCTCAAAATTGAATAGCCTCTGGTAATTAAATACTGATTGCAATTTTCTTTTCACACAGTGCTTTACTATCTTTCAGATGCACAATCAGTTAGGGGTGTGTGTGTGTGAGAGAGAGAGAGAGGAAGGAAAAAGAAGAGAGATTTTATAATTGTTCTGCAATACGCATGTAAATCTTGCTACATTTGTCAACAGTGATAAAAACTTTATTATACTTCCTTATAATACTGTTATTAACAGTGCTAAAAATTCTAGTAGGTCTTCTGAGCTTGGTTGCAAGGGAGTAATAGGACTTCAAAATAAACATTAACAAGGATGGAAAATATTGAGCTCCCTTGTCTGTAGTTTTTGGCTTATTTATTTTCATTTTATGGGAACAGGCCTGTCAACTCTAAATGCATCTGGCTCTAGCAGAGGAAAAGAACGGAAAAGCAGGAAGTCCATTTTTGGCAACAATCCGGGCAGAATGAGCCCAGGGGAGACAGCATCATTTAACAAAACATCTGGAAAAAGTAAAGTCACCTTCTTACAATATCTTTGGTTGATCCTCATGCCGAATGATTCCAATATTTTGCTGTCTAAGCACTTCCTCTGAATTTGCAAGCTTTTTTATTTTCATAAATGTTCATATTGTGTAAGTGTGTCATAAATATTTTAACTGCTAATTTATACTTTTAACTCACTAAAAATAGCATTTAACTAAAGATATTCTAGCATTATTTGCCTCAAAGTAAAAATTGGAAGCATTCTAGTGGTTCTTGGAACTGCACTCCTGCCCAGAAGATATATCCATTTTATTTCTAATTACTTTTTATTGTGAAAGTAATAAATTCTCATAGTTACAAGCTCAAATAACACAGAATATTATTAAAATTCTTTTCCACTAAGTGTACTGATACTACTTCCCAGAGGTAACTACTGTTAAGTTGATTGTGTTCTGTTCAAGAAAAACAAGATCTTTTTTAAGATAATCCAAGTGGGATATAACTGAGCATACCTGTATAACTTTCATACTTACTATAAATTTCCACATAACCTTCTATACATTTACCTTACTATTTTTAATGCTCATGTGATATTCCACTGTGTGAATATACTGTAATTTATTTAACTACCTCATCACTAGTATGTTTGGGTTGCTTCCTGTGTGTGTGTGTGTGTGTGTGTGTGTGTTTTTATAGGGTTTATATGCTTGTACATGTATTTTTGTGTATTGTGCAAATATACCCACAGAGCAGATGAGGTACTGAGGGAAAAGACTTCCAGGCTTTTAATTTAAATCTGTCCTGCTCCCTTCATTTTATTTTATTATTTTATTTTTTTATTTTCGGTCTTGGGGATTGAACCTAGAGCCTTGCTCATACCAAGCACACTCTCTACCACTAAGCTGCACCCTCAACTTGCTACCCTCATTTTAAAGCTCAGTAGCCATCGTGTTGTTTCAAAGTAAAGAAGTAACTCACAAGTAAAATGTAAGATGTATTCTAATGTATTAGTTTTATGAAAGTTCTCTACACTAATCTGAGGCTGATCTTTTGTGGAGTTTAGGTTCCTGTGAAGGAATTCGACAGACCTGGGAGGAATCTTCTTCCCCTCTCAACCCAAGCACATCCCTCAGTGCTATCATTAGAACTCCCAGATGCTATCATATCTCATCGCTGAATGAAAATGCCGCCAAACGTCTGTGTCGCAGGTATTCTCAGAAACTGATCCAGCACACCGCCTGTCAGCTGCTGAGGACCTACCCGGCCGCCACCCGCATTGATTCATCTAACCCCAACCCCCTCATATTCTGGCTCCATGGGATACAACTCGTGGCACTCAACTACCAGACAGATGGTAATGGGCCTGGGTCCTCACCTTGCTCTTTTGTATTTCATATTTCAGTAAATGTGGTTCAACGAGCATTTTTCAAAGGGGCAAAAGTCCAGACTGGGGCACATCATATGTGAGGGCAGAAATAGGGAAAATGGAAAATGAAAGTGAATTTGATACTGGATTGTGCTCCTAATGTTTTGGAGTTAAAGTGATAGGAAAGAACAGTGCAGGGGTATCTTCAAAGAGAGGGGTAGGTCATGGCCTCTTTTTAAAGCATTTTTTAAACATAAACTGCTCTTCACAGAGTTTGTTTTAAAAGATCTTTTGGGACAAGGATTTCTTAACATTGCTTACTGAACCTGTCTTGCTATGCAGTTGTTCTTGCCAGGCATGGCAACACACGCCTATAGTTATAGCCAGTACAAAATCTGAAGCAAGGACCACTTGAACCCAGTTCAAGGCCAGCCTGGGCAACACACATGGTCCATGTCTCAAAAAAAAAAAAAAAAAAGAGTACCATCAGGTTGGGGATATAGCTCAGTAGTAGAGTGTTTGCCTAGCCTGTGTGAGCCCCTGGTATCACAAAACAAAACAAAAACCAGTAGTGTCCCTCTAAACACTGTGCAAATTAAAACCATTTTATCTTCCTTTCATTCCTTGGAAATCAAGATGTAGAATACTGGTCAGTTATGAAGGAGAGCTGACAACAGGAAAGCAAGTATGTGAACTGCATGAACAGGGAGAGTAATATTCCTGTTTCTCTGCTGTCGGTGAGACTGACAAGAGTCCTAAAGCTCGAGTAGAAGTTTCCACTTACTTCATGCTCATATGACCAGACACTATGCTGAATTCTGGACTGCTATTATCCACTGAATCTTAACAACCCTAACAAGTGGCACCTTATGATCCTTATTTCTCAGATGAGCAAGACGTAGCAAAATGGTTAATTTGTTCCAGGTCCTGAATGACTTTTAATAATAAATTCAAGGTGTCTGAGAGTTTAAAAGCATTTTGTTCCTACTTGGTTATGAAAGGGGGCAGCCGCAACAGAAGGTGAGGAAAGAGTTGATGAGAAGTGTTTCCTAGAAGCTCATTCAACAAACCAGTTTCCCTTTTGAACAGCTGAGCAGTGGCAGCCCTTATCATTCCTCTCGTGTGAACTGATTCAGATCCTAACTAATCGTGCTGAACAAAAAACCACAGTGCAGCCTTTTCGCCAGCAGAGGTCAAACCACAACTTGAGCTCTGGAGCCGGCTGGACATCTGGCACCCCTACCCACTTGTGGCAGATCCCAAAGACACAGAGATATCGGTCATGCTTTTTCTGGACCCTATTATATTTACTTTTTTCCACTGAAATCACCTAAGATGATACAGGTGAAACTTAGTATAGCACCTGGCACGTAGCATTCCACAGATATCCTTAAGTGTGTTTGATAAGTTAAGGAAGCAGTATAATTTGGATCCACAAATGGAAATAATGATGGAATACTTTCAAAGTTGTAAAACTTTTATTTTACACTTCTTTTTTACCAAGTGGCTTGTGGGTTCACACCCCTGACCTGGTCTGTAGCCCTGTGTCCACTGGTGCCCTTGGTTATTATGATACTGAAATAATTTAAGTACATTGAAATAACTATGAATATTGTTTTCTCAAGAAAATGGAAGTGCATTTGGTTTTGGATGTGCCTTTTCTCCTGAATTACCAAGACTGTACAGACACACTGGCTCCACTTGACAGCACAGGCTGAAGGGGACACAAGGTGTTGCCACTCCTTGGATCACCCCAAAGTTCTGCTGAAGTGAAGCTGCCCCTCCACTCACCCTTGAAAGCTTTACACCTCTCAGAATCGAGCCAGAGGCAGACGTCTGTGTTGTGTGACTCATCCTGAAGCTCTTCTGCATGGTCTTCCAACTCAGGGAAGAGTACTGTTGTCTAACCTCTTGTGACTCAATGCAGCACTTGACGCGACTTGATCAAACGTCTCCCCGTACAACAGCATCCGGGTGGCCAGCTGTAGAAACTGTCATTTCTGTGAACTAGGGTTAGAGCTTGGTTCACTACCTTGCACACAGCAGATGCTCAGTAGTCTATCCCTGTCAGCCCCCCTGCAATCTGAACCTGTGTTTCTTGATTTTGGGTCCAGAGCTCTTCTGGGTACTTACTGTTTTGTGCATCACAAAGCCAAATAGATAAGTGAAAACATTGAACTAGCTCTTTGTTAATGGTTGAAAAGAATTCCTATGTTAGTGCTTTGGTTTTCCGTGATGCCTCCCATTGTGCCGCTAGACTCAATATGTGCCAGTGATCATCTCCTTGCCATTTCCTGGGTGTCAGAGGACCCTGAAGCCCTAAATGGTTGGCTATGGACGTAGCGAGGCCATTTCTTTGCAGCCTTTCTGCTGACTCTGTCAACTCCAAGAAGGTCAGATGAGATCTGGAACCAGCTTCTAGTTGGTCCACACTCAATAAAATCAATTCTCAATTGTGGAAACCGAGCTGCGGCTGATATGCAAATCCCTGGCTGTTGGGCTGGGGATTTAGCTCAGCGGCAAAAAGCGCCTGCCTGGCAAGCGCAAGGTCGTGAGTTCAGTTCCCGGTACCGGAGAAAAACCAAATCCCTGGCTGTTTCTACACAGAATGCTTCCTTCCTTACACATAGAACCTGCAAGTATGTACATAGGCAACCCCCATCAGAAGGAAAGCCTCTTTTTAGAAAAGAATTTATTACGTTTTAGTGAACAACAGTTGTGCTTTCTATGATGGCTTTTCTAGGATCCAAACATAAGGAAAAATATTATGAGAATGGTGTTACCCAATACAACATTTTTAAATGAATAGAAAATTATAAAGGCAATAGTCTCTTGTTCTACATTGATTCCTGCACATTCTTTCATTTGGTTAGAACAGGGGCTTTCAAACTATTGTCCCAGGTGAAGTTCTGGGACCACTCCTAGGAAACAGTAAAAGGGCTAGATTTGGGGTCCTATTTTTTTTTTTTTTTTTTTTGTCTTTTCAAGACAGGGTCTCACTATGCAGTTCAGGCTGCCCTGGGATTCACTTTGTAGCCCAGGCTGATCTCAACTCACAATGGTCCTCCTGCCTCAGCCTCCCAAATGCTAGGATTACAGACGTGTGTCACCACGCCTGGTCGTATTCTTGTTTCAAACCAAGCAAATCCATATTTTACATCTTGGGTCACCAAATGAGATCTTAGTTAACAAAAGTACCTTAAAGTTTTGCAAAACTAGTAAGTAGACACAGTGCTGGTAAGATTAGGCTGTAAACCTGAGCTATAATCAATAAGTGTGAGTCACTATTGCTCCATTAGGAATACAGGTTGAGTATCCTTTATCCAAATGGCTTGGAAATAGAAATTTTTAACTCAGACTTTTTTAAATTTTGGAATATTTGCTTATCTATAGTAAGATATTTTGAGGATGTGATCCAAATCTAAGCACAGAATTTATGTTTTACATACACCTAATATACATAGCCTGAAGGTAGTTTTATATATTTTTACTGCTCATCTGTTGTCAACACAGCCCATCAGATGAGGTCAGGAATGGAATTTCCCATTTGTGGTGTCATGTCAGCACTCAAAAAGTTTCATATTTTGAAGCACTTCAAATTTTCAGATTAGGGATCCTCACCTATGTATAGCCATTTCACACTTACCTACTCCTTGTGAGCTAATTTGTTTCACTGTTTTTGCAATCCTCACCATGTCTGCCTTTCTCTGTCAGAATGGCCAGGGAAGAAATTTTCTGAACTTGCAGGTGAGAGAACACAGCCTCAAAGAATCAGTCGCATCAGTACTGGAGTGTGTGTCATGCACATATCTGACAGAAAAGGAGGTGGGGGCCCACAGAGCTCTCATATGTCTAAGACATCTTGCCCGAAGAGTTCTGCACACAATCCTGGCCAAGCTCTACTACACAGAAGCAATTTACACATAAGAGTAGGAGCTGACTTCTTGTTGCACCAAGGTGCTTACCACACTTTTCCTTGATGTTGGTCCATGTAGCAAAGTTCATTCTGCATATGGAAGGAATCTATCAGAGGGGACATGTAACAGGTGTGTCTCATAAACCTTTTGCTCATTTGGGCAACTTTTATACAGACTTGAGCCATCAGATAAGCATGTAAGTGTGGAAGTATCCAGAAACAGTGCAGGAATCCAGCCATTCATCAAATAACCGTGCCAAAGAAAATTTGGCCACAAAAGACTCAAAACTTTTGTGAGGATTCCTAAAATTTATGATGGAGGGAATTGTGGACATGATGTGAATCATATGTGATGATGATTTTTTTCATATTTAACTACAATAGAAAGAGAGGCAAAAGAAATTTATGGATTGAAATTGAGATTTCAAGGAAAAGCTATTTTTCTGGCTATTCTTTCCTGTATAGTTAAGATTTTACCTTTCCTTTAAAATAGCAAGAATTGGCCCTATATTTGTCTGCATGGTTTGGTATTTGGAGTTAAGAAAATTGACATCATTTCAAAATTCAGTATAAAATGAGGTATTCTACCAGAACTTTCAGATGGATGTTGTAAACTTAGACTTGCTGGGTTAGAGTGGGATCGCTGGGCGTTTCCATAGATAGTATGTTCTGTGAGAGCACAGGGATTGTTTCTCTTGTTACCTATTGTAACTCTGGTACCTAACACAACCTGGCACATAGGCATTCGTTCATCAGTCCAGGGAACAAGTGGCTGATTTTGTCTTCATACTTGAGCTTCTGGAAAATAGATGCAAAGTTCTTTTCAACTTTAAAGAAAATGTATGACACTTTAGCAACAAAGTAACAAGCCCAGCGTTGGCTTTCTTTGTTTTGCAGATCTCCCTTTACATTTAAATGCTGCAATGTTTGAGGCAAATGGAGGCTGTGGTTATGTTTTGAAGCCACCAGTTCTGTGGGACAAGAACTGTCCCATGTACCAGAAGTTTTCTCCATTGGAAAGAGATCTAGACAATCTGGAGCCTGCTGTCTATTCTTTAACTGTAAGTGGAGCCCCTATTATCACAATGTCCTGAGGCATTAAAAAGCTGTCATATCCTAGGCTATGCAGATACAGTTCCCCCAATAATTTCTTTAACTCACAGAAAGTAGCAGCTGTGGTTAGTATGCTGCTGTCAGGCACTGTGTCCACCAGAGCCTAGTAGTGGTCCTGTGAGATCCCCACCACACCTGACGTACTATTGACGGTCACTCTGACCTCCAGAGCCCATGGAGTTGTAACTATAAGTACCTTCCATAAAAACTGAGCTCCTTGTTAGATCAGCTCATCTTAAGCTCCAACAAATTCTCAGATCAAACTTAGGCCAGTATGCAAATGCAACAAGGCACCTTTCCTACTTCTAGTTTAAATGTTATCATTCCCAGACCTTTCTTTTTCCTTTTCGCATGTAAATACATCATTGTTAAATCCCCACATACTCTCCTTTAACACAAAAACCTGGTAGCTCTTCTCTACTTCCCTATCCGTCTCCTTCCTCTTCACTAACAGAGAAGAACACCCGGGTGAATAGGGAGGAGATGGAGACAAGGTCATCTCTTCTCTCCATCTTAAATCTTGTCCCTCTCTCTGCCTTTCTGAAGGAAGTCTCCTGGTGATACCCAGTTCCTGGGATAACACATTTGCAGATTTGCTAACTGATTTTTTCTCTTTCCTTAAGTTAGGGCCATTTTAGCTAGAATAGAGTATAATTGTATGCATTCTCAGAAGGTTATGAATTAATTATGAATTTTAACAACATCATGTGACTTGCTGGAAAACTATTCAAAGGAAGAGTATTTTGAAGTTGTATAACACATTCCTACCAACGTTTTAAACAGAGTATCAGCCAGGCGTGGTGGCGCACGTCTGTAATCCCAGTGCTCTGCTACAAAGTGAGCTGAAGGGCAGCCTGAACTGCATAGCGAGACCCTGTCTCAAAGAGATAGATAAATAAAGAGAGTATCAGAAACAACTTTATGGTTACATGGCATAAGATCTTTTTTCTTTCAACTTCTCTGAGAAACTTAATTTCATCTTAATTGCTGGGTTTTAAGGTACCTGAAATTTTGACAGTTGAAAAGTCATAATTAAATGAATGCTGTTAAAAAAATTAGGTTCTTCACTTGATTCCAGCTATGTAATTGCCCAGCTACAATTACGATTATAATCACTTTATTTTTTAATAGTTTCACTAATAATTTACCTGTCTAGTCCAGTGTTCTTCAGAGATCAAGCAGTGAGGTGCAGCGGCTGTCTTTGCTTCTTTTTCATCTTCCATGACTTTGATCCTTTTTTCCCTTCAGATTGTCTCTGGCCAAAATGTGTGCCCTGGTAACAGTACAGGAAGCCCATGCATTGAAGTTGACGTGCTGGGCATGTCCCTGGACAGCTGCCACTTCCGCACAAAGCCTATCCATCGGAACACCCTGAACCCCATGTGGAGTGAACAGTTTCTGTTCCGGGTTCACTTTGAAGATCTTGTATTTCTTCGTTTTGCAGTTGTGGAAAACAACAGTTCAGCAGTAACTGCTCAGAGAATCATTCCGCTCAAGGCTTTAAAACGAGGTAAAATGAAATTCTGAAGTCATGCCCACAGTACCCTGGCGTGTTAAAAGGAGGGACTGAAGAGAGAAAAACAAACAAAGGAAGGGAGAGTTGGGTGTGGCAGGAGCAAAAGTGAGCCGTGGCTCGAGGATGTGCCTGGCAGACATCCCAGGACTGGAAGCCAGGGGTGGGTGTCAGGTGTAGAGCAGGGGTAAGAGGGACAATTCTGAGCAAAGGTGAAAGCTCTTGGTGAAAAGCTCTCCTGGCTGGACTTTGCACGGCACTCCAGGGATGTTTGGCTTCTTGAACCTGACCTGTGCATTGTTTTTGAACTCTGAGGCACATTTGCCTGTGCTCTGGGTAACAAGACTTACCAGATCCTGATTCAGTGGGTCTCGGGCAGAGCTTGAGATTCTGTGTTTTCCCCAGGTTCTCAAAGGTGTGGACTATGCTGGCTACCTTGAGCACCAAAGTTCTAAGTTTGTATCTCCCCAGCTGCAGCCACACTCAAACTGTCATCCTCTGAGCTCCACCAACACATTAGTTTTTGTTTGTTTTGTTTTTTTGGTGGTGGTACAGAGATCAAACCCTGGAGCACTCTAGCACTGAGTTATATTCCCAGCCCTTTCTATTTGCTTTATTTTGGGGCTGGGGATTTAGCTCAGCGGCAAAGCGCCTGCCTGGCAAGCACAAGGTCGTGAGTTCAGTTCCCGGTACCGGAAAAAAAAACAAAAAAAAAAACAAAACAAAACTATTTGCTTTATTTTGAGATACAGTCTCAAATTGCCCAGGCAAGGCTTGAACTCTTGATCCTCCTGCCTTCGCCTCCCCCAGGGCTGGGATTATAGGAATATGCCACCATGCCCAGCAGCTTCCTACTTCTTGTTCATTTCCTATTTCTCTTCTTTACTGTACAAGCAGCTCCCGATCATTACATTTATTTGCTGCGGTATCTGTGACAGAATACCCCAAGAGAATTATATTTTTTCACGGTTCTGGCGAAAAGAAGAGCAAAATCACAGTGTTAGTAGGCTTGGTCTCTTGAGAAGTTCCTCCCCTTGGTGTGGCCTCCTCACAGTGCCCTCACACAAGCTTAGTCTGTGTGTGCACATCTGGGGTCTCCTAATTTCCTATTTCTGTCATGTCGTCAGTCACATTGGGTTAGGGCCTACCTGATAACCTCATTTTAATGTAATTACCTTGTTAAAGAGCCTGCCTCCAAATATAGTCACCTTCTGAGATACTGGCTGTTAGGTTTCAACATATGAATGGCAGGTGGCAGGTGGGAGGTGGGCCTTTCACAGTTTCAGCCTATAACCGTTATTACAGAAATGTGAGAAAGGACAGAGAACCAAAACAATTGTTTAAAAATTATCCTCTTACTGGGTGTGGTGGCACACACCTGTAAACCCAGCACTCAGAAAGCTGAGGTAGGAAAATTGTGAGTTTGAAACCAAATTGTGAGTTTGGACTGGACTATTAAGGTAAGACCCTGTCTCAAAAAAAAAAAAAAAAAAAGCCATCTTTCTATCTCACCAACATAATCACTTTAGGTATATATCTTTTGCAGGCTTTATTTTTCTGCCATGTAAATGGCACAGGAGCATATAAATATGTTTTTAACAAATAGGCTTCTCACTAATCTTATTTTACAACTTAATGATTTTCGTCTTCTAATCTATATGGTAAGCAACTTTTCATTTTAAAGTCATATTAAGTGGCATTGCCACTTTTTTTTTTCCTGATGCGGGGGATCAAACACAGTGCCTTGCACATCCTAGGCAAGCACTCCGCCACTGAACTAACCCCCAAACCTTTACATTACCACTTTTACTGACTGCATATTCCATTTTATACTGACATCTTCATGCCATGACTTGTTTGAACCCCTATTCTTTTATTATTAAAGCTGCTCTAAGGTAGAATGTGAGCCCCTAGAAAACAGAGAGAGTAAAGGACTTGGTGTTAAAATAATCACATTTTCCTGCTATTTTTTGAGGGTGTTTTGTTTTACCATTTGAGTCTAAATTGAAGTAGTACTGGATGAGTTAATTAGCACTGGGTGGCCCAAAGCCATCCTCAGGGGGCAGCACTCCCAGTGATAAGGTGCCTGCTGTTCATCTGTCCATTGCTGCCCACTGCCTATTTTAAGGTAGTATTTCTACCTGTCACTCACTGACCTCCAGGGAGCATCTTCTTGGCAGAGCGGTGTACCACATGGCTAACAGGATTTCCCAATTCTTCATCATTTCAGGGTATCGGCATCTTCAACTGCGAAACCTTCACAATGAAGTCTTGGAAATCTCTAGTTTATTCATAAACAGCAGAAGAATGGAAGAAAATTCCTCTGGCACTACTATGCCAGCCTCTTTGGTAATTAAGTCCTGTTCTACTCAGCATATGTGCAGGGACTGCCATGCTTTCTTGTGGTACAGCAAAGTGGGCAGTAAGAGTTAAGGAGCTATGGAAATAGTGACACTACTAGCTGGCCCTTGGCACTTACCAGGCACTTTACATATATAACTCGTTAATTTCCCACATAATAGCCTTGCCCTTGAATTTTGAGAACCACTGAGGCAGAATTTACCCCACTCATACAGGGTGAGCAGCAGGAGTGGGTGAAAGCTGACGCTGAGGTAGACAAAAAAATTTTTCAAGGAGCACTGTTTTAATTAACTGGCTGATATACCATTATGTCTCTCTTTTCAAAATAAATTTGAAAATGTGTCCAGTGATTTCCATTTTTACATGTTTAATCATCTGACCAATCTTACAATTCAGCCTAGTCCTATCAGGCTTCAAAAAGGCATAGTCTGTGCTTACAGTGGACTGGTTTGGACAGGGTCCACCTCTCTACTTAGCCTTGCTTTCTTCTCTGGCCTTCTTTTGCCCTCAGGAGTCAGTTGCGTCGCTCTGCTCCTGACCTTGTTTTCTTGGGTTTTCATCCCTTTCCTTTTGTCACTCCACAGCAACTTTGGCTGCACATTTGTATCACCTGGGGAGCTTTCAAAAACATCCGACCAGGGCGTACACCACACCAATAAGACAGAGTGGCTTCCATGTTTAGAAGGATTCCCAGGGGACTCTGGTGTGCTGCAAGGTTGAGAATAACACCGTGGTCAACGTGGAGGACCTCTGGCCTCCACTTGGTGCAGAGACTTCACAGACAGGGCAGGGATTCCCGCTGCCACAAAGCAGGAATGAGATGTTTTCAGAGAGGCAAAGGAGGGCTTCATCCCCAGCTCTTGGCTGGTTGCGCTCAGTATCTGTGAGCTGGAGATTCCGTGAGTGCCATGAGTCTGACACCAAACGCGTGATGTCTTTTCCAACACCACTGCTCTGACTGTCCACTACCAGCTCAGTGCCTCACGTTTCAGTTCATTTCTGACACTAGCCACCCAGAGTCAGCATTAGTTCTCGCAAGAGTACCCCTACTCCAGGGGCTAATCTCAACTTCCAGACTGTCACCAGGACTTCTGACTGCTGAGCTCTAAATTCAAGAGGATCCCATAACCCCCTGGACTTAGTATTGTAGTGGAATGACACAGAACTGAGGAATGCACTGTATCATTATCAGTTATTAAAGATGATTCAGTTCAGAAACAGCCAAATAGGAAGGATGCAGAGGACGCAGTAGGGGAGGAGCTTCTGTGCCCTCTCTAGGCCGCCCTCCCAGAACTTCTGCCTGTTGACCAGCTCAGAGTCCTCTGAACCCCATCATTTAGGGCTTTACGGAGGTTTCATTCTGTTGATACTATTGGTTAAACCACTGGCTCAGTATCCACCTTCTCCCTCCCTGAGGTCTGGCAGTGGTGCTGAAAGTTCCACCATTGTAACCATGCCTTCTACTTTCTCAGCCACAAGTCAGGGCAAGAGAAGGCCAGAAGAAAGCAAGGCTAGTTAATATTTTTACCACCCCAAAGATTCTAAGGGTTTTAGGAATTATATGCTAGGAGCCAGGAGCAAAGACCAAATATTTATCTTTTACTATGTCACACCGTCCCTTCCTTGGGGTTCCCAGGCATGGTGACTGCATTGTTTGACCATGGAGGGCTTCACTCTTGCGATAACTAGACATCATCCCAGATGTCTCCCTTCCTCTTATGTCCCCCAGTTAAGATTTGACAATTCTGGCCTGTTCGTGCCTTTCAAATGTATTCATTTCTGCCCATCCCTTCTACCTTGGTCTTCATTCATCCTCACCTGGCTGAGAAAGTGATTCCTAATTGGCCTCTTTTCCTCTGGATTTGTCTTCCTCTGTGTGTCTTTCCTGAGGGCCTCCTGGATGGTCTATTTAAAACCTAAATGTGATCGTGTCATTTCTCATTAGAAACCCTTCTTTGGTCTTCCATTGCTTTTGGGATAATAAAGTCCAATGCCTGAGAGTGACAAGGGCAGGATATAAACGCACATCATTGGACAAGACAAAAAGCAGAGAGCTCCTGGGCCGCTTAGAGGTGCAGCTGTTACCCAGCTGTGAGCTCCAGCCACTTGCTGCCATTCAGTGGTACCAGATTTGTTTGTTTTTTCAAGAGAATCAGAACATCTAGGTTTTGTAAATGTTGGCAACTTTTTACATCTTTAAGACTGACTACAGAGTGCAAGCATAGTAAAATGGGCAACCTCTCTTCTCCACCCCAAATTAAAAATAAAAACCATCTATGCTAAAACACTTCAGCCCTCAGGTTTCCATTTTGCCAGCTTTGGTCTAAATATTAGCCAGTTAGACAAAGGTCTGTGTAACTCTGCTTTGCCTGCAACGCTGGCCTTTCCCTTCAACTTGTAAGCCATTGACCCCACTAAGGTTCTCAGAATATCCTCCGTAGGCTACCTCTAATGTTAGCACACATGCTGAATCAATTTAATTACTGTTTTGTCTCCTTCATGTGCTACATCACACTGGGTCCTTCACGATTTAGTTAGATAATACCACCTTCAAGGTCTTCAAGAAGACCTCCCTTGCCAGGCATGGTGACACACGCCTGTAATCCCAGGACTCAGGAGGCTGTGGCAGGGGGATCGTAGTGAGTTTGAGGCCAGCCTGGGCTATGTAGTGAGTCCAGGCCAGCCTGACTACATAGCAAGACACTGTCTCAAAAAATAAAAAAGACCTCCCTTATTTCCCTCAGACTGGAACTAGGTCCTTTCCTCTGGGTTTCCCAGGAACTTACCATGCTTCTTACAGTTTTCCACTTACTCTTCTAGCTGTCTCATTCACTTGGGAGCCCTTGAGGACAAGGATAACGCCATATTTGCCCCTAATTCTCCAGGGCAAGGCATAACGTCTGACACAGTGTAAGCCCTCCATAAATGATTTCATGTTTGGAAGGAAGTTGCACACCTGTCCATCTCTTCCCAACTGACATACAGTGCTTTTTGTATTATGGATTACTTGTGTGCTGGGTGATGAGCTCTGTAAGGGCAGAGCATTTTTAATCTTCTATCAAAAAGTCTATCCCATTTCCCTGAAGCAGATGGGCCTCAATAGGTTTTTTAGAATAAATTAGTTCATAAGTAAGGACTAATATGCATTTCAGAAAATATCAGTCCCTAATTCTTATGGGAAAAGAGATATTGCGTTTTAAAATAAATTAATACTTTGGTGTGTTGCTAAGTATTCTTACTAGACTAATGAGGAAGATGTCATTGTCTTCTCTACCACATTAGCGTGCATCAGGTCATAAATGAGTTCTCTTTTGCATTTATATGTCCCTATATGTATTTGTAAGCGCAATCACTCCTGTATCATGTTATTTAGAATGAATAAGAAATGACCTGATCTTCCTTGACAGATGTTCAACACAGAAGAGAGAAAATGTCTGCAGACTCACAGAGTCACAGTGCACGGCGTCCCAGGTCCAGAGCCCTTTGCTCTTTTCACTATAAAAGGAGGCACCAGAGCAAAGCAGCTTCTCCAGCAGGCAAGTCTACTGAACCAGTAAATCTAATGGTTAGAAGAATACAATTTTTAATGTGTATGGATGTACACATGTGTGTAAATGCGTGTGCAAGCATACAGCAGACAAGTACATAAATGCACAAAAGTCTTTGTTAATGATACGCATTTTGCTTATTTGGAAATGTGTTATTCAGCATCAAGACCCACCTTAAGAATGATCTGAGGGATCTAGACAAGCTACTTTAACCATAAAGAAGAATTTTTAACAGTTTTTCAGCCACATAAAACACAGGGCTATAGAAGCATAAAAACCAGGACAGATGGCTTTCTGGCCATGGAAACTTTTTCCCTCTCAACCAAGACATGGGCTGCATCTTCCTTCTCAACACAGCACTTACTCATCAGCGAGAATCTGCAAATAAGCTGAATGAAGTATGTTTACCATCCTCGGAGTATGGTCAGATTCCTAGAGCATCAACATGGACCACATGGACCAAGAGCACATCTCTAGCTCCTCCAGCTTAAATCATGGAGATCAGTCCACCTTCCTGGTCACTTGTTCTTAACCTTTGAGGTCCTACCCTGTGGCAGTGCAAAGAAGCATGATAATTCTGAAACTAGAGAATGAGGTCTCCTTACCCTACAATCCCTTATGTTGGGCCACTTCTCTCTGGATCCCTCTAGCAACCTTTGTGGCCTTCTGCAGGTGGGATCACATCCATAAGAAGACTTATAAGAGACAGAAGGCCAGGAACAAAGACCAGCACCCAGAAGAGAAAGGGCAGCTCCCCAGAGAGAAGGCTGGGCCCTTGTGCAATTCCTTTTCTCTGCCCATTAGAAGCTCTATCCTGGCTGGATACGGGGCCTCATACTTCGCAGACTCTTTTATCTCTAACCCACTTCAGGGCTGCTTCTCCTCCTTAAAGGTAGACCAATAGAACAAGGACCACAGGGAATAACCCTGAACTCCTTGGGAGCTAGGGTGTCAGAGAAAAATGTAGCTGGAATCATATAATACATGGGGAAATTAAAAATGGATTGAGTAATCATACATGAATATTAATAAATAGCTCTGATCTTTGAAGACACATCTTTATAAGCTGTTCAATATCTTGCCCAACTTTTATAACTTAAGCAGAGTCATATAAAATCGCTTAGGTGTCCCATATCATAGATTATCAAACAGAAGCTAATGCCAAAGGTTTTGGAGTTCTTTTGGCAGGGGAGGTTGCTTGTTTGCTTTTTAACCAGGCAGTCCATGCATTTTAGCATTATCACAAAGCACTGTTGAGATTTTGTAAAAATAGGGAGAACTTCCCACGGGCCACCCATAAAAAGCCCTTTATTTTATTGTTACCCAATGGAAATAAGCAAAGAAGTCCTCAGGACTGAGGAAAGGCCCTGAGGATGCTGGCCTTCTGGTAGAAGTGACAGTCCCAGCTGACCTCCTGAAAGCTTCATGTCCTGAATTATTCCTGAGGAGTAGTTCATATTTAACCCAGTCTGTCTGCCATGCCTGCTTCTGTAGCATCAACAGCTAGGGTCTCTACTGTGAGGGCTGGGGTAGGAGGATCAGAGCTTCATGAGAGTCTTCTGCTCCCATCCTCCTCCTCACATTGCATTCAGCTTTTCCTCCAAGTCAGAAAAGGCTGACTCTGGTCACTGAATCACTGGAAGGGCCCAGGAGAGAAAAGTGTTTGCTTAATCCGGAATAGGTGGTGGCAGCTTTCTGTCATCACCCAGCCGCTTCTCACAGGAAGGCAACAAAGTGTGTTTCTTCACTGTGACTCACCTTTACCCTCTTCAGGTTCAGCCTTTTGTCAGGAACCTATACAGGAAGAGTGGGAAAGAGTATATCAGTAAAAGTAACTGTAATGATGGCTCCTGAGTTTTCATTATATGTATTCTATGCTTTGGACCTCAATCACAAAACAAACATTACTATTCCCATTCTCTATATGAGAAAACTGGATCTCTAAAGCATGAAAGTATATTGCCCAGCAGCTTGCAGACATGATAGGAAGTCTCAACAGCAAACCTCAGACCCAGGTCATCTGGCTCCAGGGCCTTGTCTCTGCCATGCCATTTGACTGCACAGGATTAGTAGCCAACAAAGAAAACAGCCCTTTAGGCACACTGTCAGGAGTGTACTGACAACAATTTCTAGCAACTTAGACACGATGAGAATTTAGCCCGGTGAACCTTCCGTGAGAAGATGATTATTTCTAATGTGAGAAAAAGATTATTTTAGTAAAAGCTGGGTGAGGTCCTTTGCCCTTCCTTAGTCCTTTGCAGCAAGGTTAGGAAGAGAGTGAGAAATCGAAAGGTTTTAATTCAGTAAGAGCTCTCGTTCCAGCAGTGGGAAAATAGTTCTGCTGTCTGGGGATTATGAATAAACTGTGCTGTTGCCCAGAGCAGACATAAACAATCTTTTTTGGATATATGAGAATTCTTAGATCTTGCAAAAAGAATTACACAACACTCCAGAGTAGGTTTCACATATAAGTTGCACATCAAACCTAGCTGAACATCATGAAGGCTTGCTTTGATTTTTTGTTTTTGTTGTGCTTTTTGGTTTTTTGAGGCAGGGTCTCCCTAAGTAGTTTACACTGGCCTTGAACTCACTATATAGCCCCTGCTGGCCTCAAACTCATAGCAGTCCTCCCGCTTTAGCCTCCTGAGTGCAGGGATTACAGGCTTGTGCCACCACACCTGGCCGTGAAAGCTTGTTTTGAATTTAAGTTTGTGCCCCACTTCTTAGAGGTGTGCCTGATTTTACCTTTGCTTTTTCTTTAGATTCTGATGACTGAACAAGACACCAAATTATTCTCTGCAGACTATTTTTTGATGGAAGAAAAGTATTTTATATCAAAAGAAAAGAATGAATGCAGGAAACAACCATTCCAGAGAGTCATTGGTCCAGAAGAAGAGATCATGCAGATTTTAAACAGCTGGTTTCCAGAAGAGGGCTACGTGGGCAGGATTGTCTTAAAAACCCAAGAGGAAGTAAGTAGATCTTGGAAGAAGCTTACACAATATGAGATTAACCATCTCACCACTGACCACCTCCCTCCTGTCCTAATTTCTTGTAATTACAACATGATTTTATTATTCTTGAGTGTAGGGAAATCATTTTATTCTTCGGTACATATCCAAAAGGTTATATCTAAGTTACAGAAATTCAGTTTGAAAATATTCTTTATGAAGCAAAGGGAACAAGAGGTTGAAGGATTCCTCCGCTTGTCATCAGCTGTGGGTCCAGTATTTTATTTGTGCTTTACTGTGAGGCCACATTACAGCAGCACTCCCTTATCCAGAAGGGATATGGTCCAGACCCTGCAGTGGATGCCTAAAACCTCGGACAGAACCAAACCCCATACAAGCACAAGCACTGATCAGATAACCAAAGCGGCTCCTAAGTGGCTACCAATAGGCAATCCCTGTAGATACGCTGAGCAAAGAGATGATGCATGGCTTGGGCAGAACAGAACAGGACAACAAGAGATTTTCTCACACTACTCAGAATTATTATTAAAACTTATGAATGATTTATTTCTGGAATTTTCCACTTGATACTTTTGGACCATGGTTTTGAAACCACAGAAAGCAAAACCTCAAAAAGTGAGACTATAGCATTGTGCACTGCAGGTATTCTGCATTTTGAATTTGGTTGCTTTTCTGTTAGTGCCTGTTATGTTTTATCAGATGCAAATTGTGCACCTCTAACATTTTCAAGCCGTATATTGCATAACCATTTACAACACTGAACAGTCTCAAACACTTATATTTTGAATGTTCTCATGATATAATGGACACCATTATATAACCTGTAAAATCTCTACAAATATTCCAAAATCCAAAAAACTCCAAAACCTGAAAAATGTCAGGTTCCAAACATGTCAGATTCAAAGCATGTCAAAAACATCAGGTTCCACCCCTTAGAAGGTAAGTCAGTAAAGGCTTGTAGGTAAAACAATAGCATTTCCTTGAAAATATTCCATAACTTCATATAAAGAGAATAATCCTTCAACCTTCGTCAGAATGAATAAAAATGTATATTATGTGTGCTAATATTGCCATGATTATCCCCAGGAAGGTAAAAAAGCAAAAGCTGTCATATCCAAATCAGTTGGCTCCTCTTTGACTTTATTTATGGTGCAGCTTTTTCTCAAAACATATTGGTAAAACCTCAGCTAGTTTGCTTCCATTGTAAGAATAGCATGTAAGCTATAGACAACCAGATCTCATAATATGTTTATAATGAAGCAGCTGAGCCTGTTCAACAATTAGATTAAACACGTTAAGCACCTGATACGTGCCAGGCCCAGTTCTGAGCACTGGCCTGCTCCGTGGGGGATATACCAATGCTTGCCAGTAAAACATGCCCTGGCAACCAATGCTTGCTGGGACACAGTGCAGATAACGGCCGGTCTTCATCATCACGTTGCTTTTCACTCTGGTGACTCTGAACATCACTTGCAGCATTGAAAGAACTCCAGCACCTCCACTGGGACTAGAACCACTGTCTTCCTTCCCCCATACAGCTTGCCTTGGCCATAAAAGGACATTTAATTTAAGCCAAGAAATGTAATTGTAATTGTTTCCCGGGCTCCTCTCCCTGTCAGGTATATGAATTGTTAAGACAGAGGACAAGCAGTTCTAGCGGTAATCATTTTATGAGAAATTATAAGAGGGCTCAGCTCGACTTCTGAAGCCATCTTTAATTTCTCTCTAGTTTTTTTTTTCTATTTCTAATTCACTTGCTTGTTAACTGGCTACATGTAAAAAAAATCTTATAAGTGACAGCATCAGTGAATAATGTAAATTTTTCAAACTATACATTGTATAATTACTTCCAGAATTGATAGGTCTCAAACATCCACTATTTAGAATGATTGCATGATGTAATGAAAACCACTTGATACATAAGGAAACAGGCTCAGGTTAAAAATCAAAAGCCAGATGTGATCACAGTTGCCTGTAATCCCAAGGCTGAGACAGAAGGATTACAAGTTTAAGTCTCACCCACCCAGGCAATTTAGCAAGTCCCCGTCTCAAAATAAAATGTGGCGGGGATATAGCTGAGTAGTAGAGAACCCCTGGGTTTGCTCCCCTGTACCAAGAAAAAGAGGCAGAGGTGGTTAAAACTATGTCAGGGTCAGAAGTAGAAAGAACTCGAGTCTTACATCTGCCAATTCAGTGTTCTATCCACAGTCCTGTGCTTCCCAGGCTGGAGTTCTGTCAGTCCTTGTGGATTACCCACCTCCAGCCCTGGAGGCAGTGAGCAGAAGGAAAGCTAGTGAGGGTCTCAGCAGGTTCCTCATATGCCAGAAAGACCAGGAAGCTTAGGGGTGCCTATAGACATTTGAAACGCATATGAAACAGGCAGAATAGATGCTTCCAAAAAATGGATAAATGAGAAGGGAAGGCTAATAAGCTTTTTGTAATGAGTAGACTATATCAAGTTCCCCTTGGTAACACCTTTGTGGAGAGGATATATTTGAAATGACTGAAATATACCCCTAAAAATAACAAATCTCATTTAGTGTATTTAAGCTTACCTAGTACGTAGTGATTCCTAATCAATATTGACTGAAGCTGGGCATGTAGCTCAGTGGTTGAGTGGAGGCTTAGCATGCAGAAGGCCTCAAATTCAATCCCCAGCACAAAAAAAAGAAAGAAAAGAAAAGAAGAAAAGAAAAAAATCTACTGATTGAATAAGTGACTTAATTATTTAATGTAAGATGGCACTATCATAGTTGATCGACTTGGGTTATAAGTCTTTCCATTTGTTTATCCTGTGGAACTAGTAAGATATGTAAGCAGTTTGACCACAGAGTCTATTAAAAGTTCTTGGGTTGGGGATGTAACTCAGTATAGACTACTTGCCTAGTGATGCATGTGGCCTTGAGTTCAATCTCCAACACCACAACAGTTTAAAGTTTCTCAGTGTGACTCAGATCTCTCCTGCCTGCTCTTTATACCTTTCCTGTCTCCTGTGCTATTAGGCTATCAGGTACTACATACTCCTGTGGTTAGTACGTCCCCTTTTGACTGCTTTGGCTTTGAAATCATGTTACTAGCTGGTCAGGTCTGTACTGCTTGTTGCTCCCCAAGAACATAGAAGATGATCTTTGGTGGGAAAGGAAAAGGTTTGTTCAAAGCTAGCTCCAAAGGAGACGGAGGGGTCTCTTACTGCCTCGAATCTCCATCTCCCCTTGGTCAGAGGAGCAAGGACCTTTATAGCAAGGGAGATGCAGTCAGATGACAGGGGAGAAGTTTCAACACTGTCCCCAAGCTCTTTCACCTTGCTCCAGGCCTGGGGCCCCTCCCCACCTTGGGAAAATGGAGCCAGATACCTCTGGGGACCAGCATCTGCATATTCCTTTCAGACAGTGTATATATAATTTCTCTGACAGAGGTGTTACTTTTCTGTTAGTTATCTGATTTGAGAAAGGAAGAGGATCCAGTCCTGAGTGGATGGACATTTGGGTTGCTTCCACAATTTAGCAATTACAAATTGTGCTGCTGTGAACATGGGTGCACATATATCGCTGTGATATGACGTTTTCAGATAGTTTCTTTTTTTTTTCTGGTACCGGGAATCAAACTCATGACCTCGAGCTTGCCAGGCAGGCACTGTGCTGCTGAGCTATTTATATAATGGAATATTACTCAGCTATAAAGAAAGATAAACTTGAGGCTCTTATAGGTAAATGGTCACAACTAGAGACCATACTCATAAGTGAAATAAATCAGACCTGCATGTGTAAGCAATGTATTGTCTCACTAGTGTAAGACCTAAAAGAGTGCATAAAAACTAGGAAGTATGATAGACATTGTGAAATGAAAGGAAAATGCTCAAAAGTAAAGGGCAACTGGGGTGTGAGAAAAGAAAAGGGAAAGAAAGGGAAATTATGTAAGTATGTACATACAGGATAGCTAACATAGTTGTACTACTGACTTCTATCACTTTACTGAAAGGAACAGTTAATGATTACTTATTTGATCAATCATGTCTCTATTTGTTTTCCTGAGAAACCACTTTGAAGATATCAATACGTAATACAACAACCATGGTTAATTTCCTACAACTTTGTCTGTAATTCTTTGTTTGTATTGTTCTTATGCTATTTTGTAAATGGATGTCTGTCTGTTAATAAGTTTTCCTTCTTTTATTTTTAAAATAAAAAAATTAAAAATTTAAAAAAGAAAGGAAGAGGAAAGAGTTTATGCTTTCAGCAGGAGAAAGTTGGGGAAGTCAGGTCCTCTCTCTACAAGAAAGAATCCTAATTGGTTTACTTTTATCAGTGCGTGCTTGCAGATTAGTGTGTGTACATGACACACCTCAGTTCCCATCTCTTCCCTCCTCCCTCCACCCTCACATTTTTCAAGCATCAAATTCCTTTATTTATAAGACCTTATAAAGTTAAGTATCTTATGTACAGATTGAAAATCAGACTAATGGGTCAAAGAACATATAAAACATGCAAGACAATTGTACTAAGTCAAGGTACACTTCCAGGTCCATTGTCTACACTGAAAAAAACGCAAATTTTCAAAGATCTATTTTACCCTCTGGGTTACACCAGGACAATCCTGGATTCTAACACAAATTAGATAGTCCTGAACAGACCAACTAACATCTGTAAGCCTCCCTGCCCTACTTTGTAAAGCCTGTAGTAGAAATATCCTATTTGACTTATGACAAACAGGTAGATAGTATGTACAAAGATACTAGGTAAAACAGGGGAGCTGTTGTTATCATCTTCTGCAGTGGCTGAAAACCTAAGTGTAAATAAGCTCTGCTGAGGCTCTAGGGAGATCTCCTAAAAGGGATATACTGCTGTTGGGAGATGTGGCAACTTAGAACCTTTTTATTTTTACTTCTTGTTTTCTGGGTTTGGGGACAGTGGAATTATAAATCCTGTCATGTGAATCACCCCTGACTTCACTCTGACAGGTTAAGTAGATGAGGAACAGCGCAACAACATTTTATGCAGCCACCTGCTACTGTGCAGTCAGATTGCTAAGAATGGGTATAAAATGATGAGCAGTCTTTAAGTTGGGAGAAAAGTTGCAGGATGGTATATTATGAGAGTACAATTTTATACAATAAAAGTAGATAACGCCCCGTCCTTCTACCACCATTATATAAATAAGATCTAAACACTTCAGTCATGTGCATCACAGGGCCACACCTGCAGTTAATGAAATATCGGCACAGGTCTGTGTGATTGGTGACAAGCTCCAGGAGCAGTCCTTTCTGGTCTTGATTATGGCATGGCACCACCTGGTGGCAGTTTTCCATCCTGCTTTCAATGACTGCAGAACTTGTATGATAGGGATAGTAATTCTAGTTAGCGCCTTGTCTGGGGAGATTGTGCTAGGAGAATGCTGACAATGGGATTGTCCTGCTAAGCCTCACATCTTTTTTTTTTTTTTTTTTTTTTTCCTACCTTTCTTGACATACTTGGACCTCCTAGTTTTACCACTGTCTTTGTTTTCCTTATCTTGGTAGGAAAAAAATCTTATCATATAAAACCTTCCCCACCAAAAATAAATCTCTAAAACTTTTTAATGTATTTTTTCCATCTTACTGTTTTATTTATTTTGTTGTTTTTTTCTGTCACAAGCCTAGTAGCTGCTTGGATTTTAAAATGTCCTGAGTACACTTTTTTCCTTTTGCTCCAGAGTGAGTTTATAAATGTTTACATTTTAATTAGGACTGGCTGACCAGCAGGCAGCCTCTAGTAGCATCCTTGCCTTAGCCCAAGCAGAAGGCAGCAGAAGAGCAAGTTGACCCTGTAACTGTAGTTTAAGAATTATCCCAGTGTACAAGAAATATTTTAAGAATGTCAATTAGAAAATAAAAAAACAAACTAAACTTAGAATGTAATAAGCCTCACATCTGAAGTGAAGTTGCCTGTTCTTTACCTGCCTCTCCTCACTTATGGCCCTTTTTACACAAGGTAACTTTAAGCCTCTCCCCTTTGAGAATGGGGCTGACAAAGGATGGAGCCCCTTGACCATCACATGACAGCTAAGTTCTCAGATTCCAGGGGTTTGTGTACATTAATAAAAAACAAAATATATTTATGATCCACAGCAAGTGTTTAGAAAGATAACCAAACAGTAGGGTTTTGGGGGTTTGTGTGTCTGTGTGTAGAAAATGATAGGAAAAAGGATGAAAATAGGCTGTTTGCTTGGTTATTGATTTACTCTTATACTGTTTTTAAAAATTAATAACATACATATATCTGGGCTTAATATGTATATATTCATAGAGATCGATGGATACTAATTCAACAAAAGTTGATTAACTTGATAACCAGTTCTCGTAATTGTGAAGAATTTGTCAAAACACGTCCAGTGTGGGTTACCATCAATGTCAGCCTTGTTACTGTGGGTTTTGCTCTTCCAGTCTGGCTCGGCCTGTTTCGCAGGTTCACATTTCAGATGTCTAGCATCTCTTCATGCTCAAGATCTTTGTGGGAATGAGTGACATTTCTCTTCAGCTCAGTTTTCTGTGTTTTTATTTGACTTCTGGTAATTGGCAAAATGATATATTCTCTTTCTGTAAATTTACTCACTTGATGTGGACTTTCAAAATGCACAGCTAATGGGAGCGGATGAATCGGCTTCCTCCGAGCCTTAATGTGTGCATCACCAGCGGCAGACATGCGATGCTCTCTTCTTATCAGAAGACAGGTGTATCTTTTGAGGGTAGTTTATAAAATATTAACAAATGTGTGAAGTATACACCTAGAAAGTTGTTTCCACATTACTAAGATACAGTTCAAATTTTGGCTTTTTTAAAATATTCTTTATCACCTTACCAATTACTGTGTATTTTTCTTTTTATACCTAGACTCTAAAAGAGAAAAGCATTGTTCAAGATGACAAAGAGGTGATCTTGAGCTCAGAGGAGGAGAGTTTCTTTGTCCAAGTGCATGATGTTTCTCCAGAGCAACCTAAAACAGTCATCAAAGCACCTCGCGTCAGCACTGCCCAGGATGTCATTCAGCAGGTAAAGGCCTCTCCTTGTGGGGAAGACGTGTAGCTTGGGGTAGATCGCTTGCCTGGCATGCACCAGGCCCCGGGTTCAATGGAAAGGAAAGGGAAGGAGAGGGGAGGAGAAAGAAGAGGAAGGGAGAAGAAAGAAGGGGAAAGGAGAGGAAGGAAAGGAAGAAAGGAAAGAAAAAAGAGAGGAAAGCAAAGTTCTTTCTTCACTTCAATCCTTTTGTCTGTATGAATTACTGGGACAAAGCAGATGCCTGTGCATTGAGAGGTCATTTTATAAATGACATTCTAGAACAAGGGAGACCTAAAAAGCGAGACTGTGCTTTGAAAATTTTTTTTAAAATAATAGCTTTATTAAACTAAAATTTGTGTACTATAGTTTATAAACTTAGTTTATGATTCAATAGATTGTAGCATATTGACAGAGCTGTATAACCATGATCAAAATCAAATTGAGATCATTTTTTGTTGTCCTCTAACAAAACACTACCTACTAGGTATCCTCTATCAAGGGTAGGAAGTATCCGTCAAGATACTTAGTAGCTACAATGAGTCTAGCTCTTTAGGAGGCACTGAGAATAATGGATTTAGGAAGTGATTCTGCAGAGTGATGATTTCATTGTCCCAGAAATGCATGACCCAGTGCCTAAGGATCTTTCAGAAGACAAGCAGGAGAGCTTCTTGAACCTTCCTTCCTCCACTGTCAAGCTTGTTTCAAGGAACTATTTCAAAGAACTCTTTTCTTCCTCAAAGCTTCCTCCTGTTTTGCATTCATTCAACACAGATTTGATAAATGAGTTAAATCTTGATGCCTAAACACACAGACCCTTGATCAGGCTGCTCTAGGTCAGTGGTGGCGAACCTATGGCAATCCTGCCACAGCAGGCACCCAGCCCTCTCTGCTGGCATGTGAGCCAAGTCACCCCAGCAGCTGAGCATTAGTTAAGCTATTTTCTCTAAACTAAAACCTCACTACAGTACCACCTTGGTTCACACACAAATGCTCCTGTTTGCAAACAATTTGGTTTGCAAACAAAAGCGGTCATCAAAATTTTGCTTCTGTTCCAGACTCCACATCAGATGACAACTACAACCTAATAATGACCTTCTCCCACAAACACAAATGCAGCCATCTTCCTCTGAATCGTAAAACAAATTAAGTTTGTAAACCGAGGTACCACTGTGTTCAGATTTAACTGCAATTGTCAGCACTTTGCAGTAAATAAGTGGGTTCTGGGTTGCAGTTTGGGCACTTGGTCTCTAAAAGTGTTCGCCATCATTGGTCTAGGTTCAAACCTACCTCTACTTTTCACTGAGATCTTGAGGATGATCTCAGATCTGTGCCTTAACTCTACTGAGTGCTGGTAAACTAAAAGGGGGCAGGAGAATCTGACTTATTTCCATTGTGCAAATATTCCTACTGCGCTTGATTTCACTAGTCCAGTTGACTACAGCATACCCTATGTGGTAAGTCACCAAAGAGATAAAATCTGAAGGTAAGTTGTTGTGAAGATTATGTGAATGTAAAGCATTTAGTACCAAGCCTAGCACATGGTAAACACTACCTAAGTGCTATTTACTGTTCCTGTTTGATTTGGTTAATTAGCCACCTTAATTGACTTTCAATTTCAGGTTTTCACCTGTTTTGCTCATCTCTGCCTTTCCAAAGTGTAGCACAGTATCTGGGACATGGTAGGACCTAGCAAATACCTGATGAATGCATGAGTAAATGAAAGATATTTCTGTACTCAATGAAAAGGGAGGCCATGTGACTAAAATCCCTTCAACATCTAAGATTGTGATTAAGAGGTAGCCTTATGGGATACGAAGGCTCCTGAGGGGCAGGATTCTGTCCATGTGCTTTGACATGTGTACAGAAAATCCAGCTGAAGTCTTTATTCTGCTACTTACAAACTGTGCATATTCTGGAATATGCTTAACCTTTGTAAGTTTAAGCTTCCTCATCTAGAATCTACTTAGCTTTTATAAGCTTATGCTTCCTCCTCTAAATCATATATTATTGGGGACATAACTAATCTGAGAAAGTGTTATAAGCTACAACTACACAAATGTAAAAGGAGGAATTAACTGACATCTGGAAGTTCCCTTCAATCTTTAAAAACACATGTCACTTTCCCACCTTAAAGTTTAATTACAGTGATTGCACATGTTGAAGATACTTTATTCAGTTAATCATGACTATCGCTTCTCGGCCTCTTGGCTAAGAGCAAGTGTAGTATCAGTTAATCATAACTTCTTTTTCAGACCTTATGGAAAGCCAAATACTCCTATAGCATCCTGAGCAACCCCAATCCAGGTGACTACGTGCTTTTGGAAGAGGTAGTGAAAGACACACCCAACAAGAAGTCTTCTGCTCCAAAGTCTTCACAGCGAGTCCTTCTGGACCAGGAGTGTGTATTTCAAGCCCAAAGCAAGTGGAAAGGTGCAGGGAAATTCATCCTTAAACTAAAGGAGCAGGTACAGGTAAAGTTTAAAGTTACTTTGCTGTCTTTATAAAATATCTCATTCATAATCACATCATGATCAAACCTGAGAGCTAGTAAAATCTAGAAGAAAGTTCCTAAGTCACATTTAGTTGGGAGAAAATTGTTGGGCTTTGTTTTCACCGTGTGGGGGAAAAAATGGGTTATGCTAAGTGGCTGAGTCCTGAGAGGAGAGTCTCTTGTTCTGTCCTAAAGCTCTACTTACCAGAGATTTGGAAAGGGCTCTTTCTAATATAGTGCTAATCCAGGAAAGATTCTTCTTCCTTGCAGGCATCTCGAGAAGACAAAAAAAAGGGGATTTCTTTTGCAAGTGAACTCAAGAAGCTCACCAAGTCAACCAAGCAGCCCCGGGGCCTCAGCTCACCGCCTCTGCTCTTGGTGTCAGAAAGTGTCCAAAATAAGGAGAAATCTGTGGGTGGCTTGACCTCCGGTGACACAGTTGATTATCGACAGTGACTAAGGACAGCATGTTTCGCCAGGTATAGAAAGTCACTGCAGCTTGCAGACTCAGCTGAAACTACTTTATTAGGCACAGCCAAGACTGTCTTGTGTCTTCACAAGGATATCCCCAGAGGCAGCTAGCACAAAGCGTTGAAAAAGATCAAGGGCACTGAAGCCATGAGGAACAGGTGCTTTTAACATTTTAGACCTTATTTTGTAGATAACTAAGCAAAGGCCCCAAGAGGGCAACCAACTTGACCAAAGTGCCACATAGCCTTATTTTATCAGACATAGAACTGTCTTATTAAAAATTCACATGAACATTTTTCAAAGGATCTATAGATCATTGAGCTTTTATCCTTTGGATTCCTAGTTTTATGTTATTCTAATTTAGGTTCGATTTAGCCTAACAACCTCATCTCCTTCTGCCTCAATTAAAAAATATAAAAATATGGCACCCAGGATGTGATGGTTAAGAAAGCAAAATCATGTAACAACATCCATCTTGAAAAGGCAGTGTTGGTTGCCAGACCACTTGATAGTCACATACCTAATAAATTTTATTTTTTTGTTCTTTAAAGTTTTTTGTTTTTGGTTTTTTGAGACAGGGTCTCACTGTGTACTCCTGGATTGCCTTGGACTTACTATATAGCACAGATTGGCCTTAAGCTCAGTGATTCTCCTGTCTCGGCCTTCCAAGTGCTGGGATTACAGGTGTATATCACCATATCCAGCTCATTTTATCTTAAAGCAGATTATTTATATAGAACCTGAATGAAGCATGTGAAAGAACCAAAAGTATTTCTACTTCTTCTCACTTAAGTGACTTTTTAAAAAACTGGTCTGGCTCTGTTGCCCAGGGCTGGCCTTGAACTCCTGCGCTCAGATGATCCTCCTGCTTCAGCCTCCTGAGTAGCTGGGACTACAGGCACATGACACTGTGCCTGGCTTCACTTAGTTTCTTAATGAACTAAGAGATCATTAAAACCCACTTTTCATCTGTTTCATAGGTCTAAGATTCAAATTTACAGGAGACCAAAAGCAGAATAAAGGCATCGGTGCTTATCCCACATAGATTCACCATCTGTCTTTATCACTGTCTGGGATTTCTCATTTAAAGTTGCAAAACTGCAGATCGTAATTAAAGAACTTCACTGATACTTCTTTAGAGAGCCAATTTTGATTTTTACCAGTCCAAAAGAAGAACCAACACACTGGGACCACGTTTCTATGTTTAAGGAACATCTCCCAAAATAATTGGTGCCCTAGACTACACTTGCAAGGCACTTTCAAAGTATCAAGTAAGGCCAAATACAGGAAACCACCCCCTCCAAAGTATGCACATCCACCTATTCCAAGAGATTCAGGGTTGTTGAGTTTCTATAGCAAAGACCATGAGAAAGAAATCTCACAGCTGTGACAACAATCAACACCACACAGCATCAGATCACAGTGAGTATGCGTGCAACCGTGTGGCTCCAACAAAGTTCAGCACTCTTCTGTCGAGAGACACCTGGTATCCTAAACGTTAAAGTTCCAATAAAGACACTGACCAACACTTAAAATAGTTTTCATGCCCATAACTTAGCATCAAATATATTCCCAGTGTGATAACACCATATACATGTCTATTGTAATTTTAGTCATAATGGAGTGAAATTACACTAAGGCTAGTAAATTTGTCAGAAATTTACTTTACATTTAAGCAACCCTCTGTGTACTCCAAGACCACAATGTGCACAGAGGAATACAACTCTACTGGAAATGCAATTTAAAATAATACATATCCATGATAACATTATTAATTGTTTATATTTTAGGAGAGCAGGAAGATCAGCAGTGATCTAGACGATGGCCTTAGGATTCAATTTTCCTGAAGCAAGCAGACATTTATAATCATGTAGCTAACTTCACAGCTTCCCTTAAAGCTGGGAAAGCTTTTCCTTAAAATAGCCATTGGCAAAACTGTGGGAATTTATATTCTGTGCTCTGACCTCCTTTAAGATGGCATTTCCAAGAAAGAGCACTTAAGTCTTTATGTGTTCATAACAAGTTCAGTGTTTTTGCTACAGGCACAGTATTTCATGTTATTTGTTCTAAAATGATCATATTTAAAGTTTCAAAAATAAAAGTTAAACATCTTATTTGAATGTGATTTTTTTTAAGGCTTTTCCCTAATGTTCTACTCCTAGAAACATCATGTTCTAACACTGAGTTTGTAGGAAACAGATTCTCTGAACGGCAGCCAGACCTGTGGGTTTCTGTTGGCTGAACAAACCTAAACTCTTCCTAGGCTGTAAATATTTCTACTTCTTCACGTTCAATACACTAATAAGCCTATGTATACACTGTTACAGGTGAAGCTCTTCTGGCAAGAAGTTAAAGTCAAGAATGAACATGGTGGAAAGAAATATAACTTATTTTCATTAGACTTAAACTGGAAAGTGATGACTTGCAAGCTGCCACCTTCTTCACACGATGTGAAGCCCATGCTGACGACACGTGAAATAGCACAGAGCTAATAGCTGCCACCCAATTTATTGATCTGAATGAAGCAAAGCAGCACAGGGACGGCCATTTTACAAATGCCAGCAGTTGGAAAAAACATCCCTTAGCTTGCAGTAATTTTCTTAGAAAAAAGGTCAGCAAACTTTTGTTTGCAAAGGGCCAGACAATAAATATTTTAGGGCTGGAGACCATATGGCCTCTGTTGTAACTCTGTTTTGTAAGTTGTGTGCTCTGCCAAAGGCCTACACAGACAATAGATACATCAATGAACACAGCTGTATTCCAGTGCAACTTTATAGACACAAATTGGAATTCCATGTAATTTTTACATATCACAAATATCCTTTTGATTTTTTTAACCATTAAAAAATGTAAAACCTTTTCTTAGTTCAAGGGCTCTATAAAAACAGGTGGAATGCTGGATTTGGCCCAAGGGCCAGAGTTTGCTGACCCAACCTAGAGAACTGGGAACAACACACAGAGATCTGAAAACTAGTAAACTACATAATTTAGACATGCAGTTTATGGCTGAGAAGTAAAAGCTTTTGGGCACTGCAGATGTAAGTTCTGTAAGAGTCATTAAAAGTAATTCAACATAGTTCCTATACTGTGTACCTCAGTGCACTCTTTACAATTCTTTTTACATACAGAAAATTTGCTGGGTTTTTTTTTTTTTTTTTGGTAAAGATTATTGCTCATATATTCACAGATTATTCCATTTTTGGTTTTCACACAATTAATTTAGAATGATGAGTTCTGATGTCTTAACAAAAAACCTAATCATTTTTTTAACTCAAAGTAGCTTTGTGGAAAAAAAGGTTTTGTGTTTAAAGTAGATTTATTTATTTTGCAAAGTTTGTACTGACACTGTATTTGTGTATTTATTAGCCATACCTTTTTAAATATACTTTCTATGGATTAGAAGCATTAGTGGTTCTATTTCACTATTCAAAGACAAACTTAAAATGTATACCTGAACATCTAAAATGGTTAAACTTTCATGTAAAATAGCTTCATCTTCATTTCTCATTAACTGAAGAGCTATGGACCCAAGTTATATTTGCAATTTGATGTAAATTATTTTTTTAAAACCTTGGTGTACAAAAACCTAGCTAAGTGTAATGGATTCTTAATCTTGGTATGAAGCAAATTATGACTTTAAAAATGTTTTCCTCTAAAGTAAAACCCAAATTTTATCTTTCCATTGGTATTAAATTTTAAAATTTTTCTTAAAATTATAAAACACACTAAAAAAATCCTTTGCTTTGAGACATTTTTTACCAATTATAAAAATGAATGAAATACCTGTTGTTATACTCCAAAAAGACAAGTGTCAAATACATAAACAAAGCTTTTATGTCATTGAAAGTTCTTAACTACCATTTTCTTGCCAACTGAACACAGGCTACACTCCAGTTTAACATTATTTGTGCAGCGCTACAGGTTTCCTTTTAACCAAATAATTTGTAATAAGTGCACAGTGTTATCCCATTTTTTAAAATATCCTAAAAACAGTCTATGAGGCCTCTATAAACAAACAGGCTAAATGGTTTGATTTGGATTATTATGGGTTGAAATTTGAGTTACTGGCCTGACTAGCTAACGCCAAACTACGCAGGGTAATGAAATACAAAGCAAGACAAGTCTCACCCAATTTATCATTTGTTTTGATGCTTGCTAACTGCCCGCGGCCCACACACACGCTGTGGCCTTTCAGTTGTGGATTTGGTTATAGCACAAATCTGAAACTTACCCTCAAACTGAATGTGACTTGGGTGTTTAGCAAGTGAATGAACCCAGCCTACTACCTATGTTGCACACCAACATTTTGAGGATAAAGTATAGACTGTACTGTAATTGAGTCTCTGGGATTTTAGGAAGGACACATTGCTTAAACATGTAAAGCAATTTACAGTCTACTATAATCATGGGTTACTCAGTGACAGGAATGCATTCAGAGACGTGCATAAGAATATCAGACTGAATTTACACAAACTAAGAGACTTTGCCATCACTAGGTAATAGGAATTCTTTAGCTCTGTTATAACCTTGTGGGACCATGGTGATACCCCATGACACACCCACAAAGTGGTCTGTCGTTGTCATGTGGCATGTGACTCGTTATAACTGACCCCCCACAACCTGGTGTTTGCCAGAAATATGAAATGTTTAAGCTTATCACATCTGAATTATTATCAGAATACTAAATGAAATTACCCTTATTTAAGTGCATCTAAAATAACCAGTAGGACTATACCCACTATAACCACTAGGACCACCATTTTACGCTTTTTAGACTATAGGAAATCTGGGTAGCAAATTCTTATCAGTAAAGTTGGTACAGAAAAAAACCTAAATATGCAAGTTGGGCTTATAACAATATTTCAAGAAGCTTCACTAAAAGTAAAAAGAACATGAATTTTGACAACCTGTTATGTGGTGCTAGCTTTTTTAAAAAGTTTTTCTGGCAGTAAAGGGTGAGAGTAAGGGTTCAGTATGACATGTGGTATTAGAATAGAGGTGAGCTTCCTCTCAGCCTCCTATTTGTAATTGTCACTGTTTGATAAGATACTAGCGGGCATTAAAGAATTACAGCTAGCTGGATGAAGTAACCATACTGTCTGGGCAGAAAGTACTCTCTTGAGGTAAAGCATCTTTACATGTCATCCTTAACAAGTACAAATTTTCAAATTCCCCACCTGGGATAAAGATGAAGTCTAAACAAAAGTGGAGTTACAGAATGCCACCCCATCTCGATGGCTCTGAAGACAGTGAAGGGTATGAGTGAAAGTGGACCCTATATAATAAACACCAATTCTTAACTGTATCTTCCCATTTCTTCTTTCCACCACTAATAAACCTCTCGTCTGCCCAGACACTACACCTTAATTATGAAAAGCAATCAGAGCTTGCCAGTAAAACTGAAGGAGCTCTACCACAGGTATGCTCTTGTGCCAACGAAGAGTAGGGTTTCCCTGGCTGATGTCTTTGACTCTACACACGGCAGAGTACAAGGCAGCCCACAGGGAAGTGTGTGGCAAGGTGGCAGTCTCTACCCCTTTCTCACATCAGCACCAAGGCCAGAGAAGGTGAACACATGGACCCCCTAAAAGCTATTAGAGAGAAAAGGAAGGCTACTTCTTAGACAAAGTTCAGACAGGACAACATTCCCATGATCCACTGTTAGTAATTTGTTTTCTGTTATCTCTATGTATCAGCTTTTCGAAAGTAATCCTTGACAGCTAAGGATTCTGACACAGGAAAACCTGGATCTCTTTGAAATGTACACTGAAACTACATGATTACTGTTATTCTTAAATGTTTGTTACGCTCAAGCCTGCAGTCAGACAGCTCTGGAATCATACTTCAGACAACATAACTCGTTCTGACACTGAATTAGGTAATACTACTTTTTTGTTTGTTTGTTCTTTTTGTTTTTTTTTCTGGTACCAGGAATCGAACTCACGACCTTGCGCTTGCCAGGCAGGCGCTGTGCTGCTGAGCTAAATCCCCAGCCCCCTTATACCACATTTTTTTAGTGTACAAATGAGTTGACTCAGCAGCAAAGATCATGGGAGATTTACACTGTCTTACACCATTACTCCCCCTTAAAGTGCCTAGTGCTTAAGCACATAGTAGGTGCTCAGTATTTGTCTAGGTGAAAAAATGAGGCTGTAGTAGAAACAGGGTGTGTCTACTGTTACTAATGATTAAGACATTTAACTCCAAAAATAAAACTAATAGGTTATATACATAAATGTGTATTTCATCCTCAAATTCATATAGGATATTCAAATATTATACTTTTATGGTCTCACTATAACTATATACATAAAACCAGAATTAAAAGCATAATACAAGCATAAAACAGTTGATGAATTTCTACCTTAAAACTGATTTTTCACCTGAACTACAATTTTTGCTGCCGAAGTGAAGTATGTATTTGTATGTTTGGAAATAAATGATTTCTGACATGCATTGGTACTTTGTGCTCTCATGGTGACAGACCCTTTGATTATCTAAACATTTAATATTCTCAGACTTTGTTTTATATGTAAATGATGGGTTACAAACATATCCTGAAACATTCCTTTCTCACCATTAAACAATCAAGCCTTAAAAATTTGACCTCAGAAATACGTTTTAAACCACATATAAGTATATGCTAACAGACTGACATATATGGTTAAGCTTGTATCTGCCTCCTCTCTGCTGCAATGGAAAAGGAATTTTCTATGTTAATTTACCTCATGAGAAAAAGTGCTAAGCTCCAGACCAATATAACTGGCTTTCTTTTTTTTTTTTGGTTTTTCTCCGGTACCGGGAACTGAACTCACGACCTTGCGCTTGCTAGGCAGGCGCTTTTGCCGCTGAGCTAAATCCCCAGCCCTAACTGGCTTTCTATGACTGAAGCAATAAGAGATCCATTTAGCTGGACTGCTGTCCATTAAAAAAAAAAAATTCTCACAACAGAAAGAGAAAGCAGCCATTTTATTAAACTATTAATAAAAATATTTTATACACATACTTCATAAGGCATTCCCAGAATATAAAATACTACTTTGTAATTCTATTCATCTGAATATACATTTTACCTATATTAAATGGAAGAAAAGGTCCTCTGCTGCATACTCTTTATTGCTAAAATAGAATGGTAGTCGCACACTTGTTTTTTTCTTCCAGGAACAATTCTTCCCCCGTCACCCTCCAGGACGTATCACAAAATGCACAAAATTTCAAAGATAATAAAATTATATTCAAATTTTGTTTGAAAGTAGCTGTGTCAGTTACTTTTCCGCTGCTGAGACAAGATACCCGACACCCACCCCAAGTTAAAAGGGCAGAGGGTTGCTTAGCTCCTAGTCTGTGGAGGGTTCAGCTCACAGGCAGGGAGGCACATGGCAGCCAGGCATTACAGAGGAGAAACAGCTCATGGCACCCAAAAGGTACCAAAAGTAACAAGGGAGTACGCCACAAAAACATTCATTAAAAAAAAAGACCAGATTACGTTATTTCTTGAGGTGTTTTTTTTTAAGACAGAGTCTCACTCTCTAGTCCAGTCCGGCCTCGAACTCACTGCGATCCTCCTTCCTTCTGCCTCAGCCTCCTGCGTGCTGGGATTACAGGTGTGTGCCACCACACCTGGCTCATGTATCTAATTGCAAACCATTTTTTTCCTCTAACAATCTTCATACAATTTATATTCACTCAAATTTAGAATGTTTCTCATTTCCATCTATGGTACTACAATAAAAATGTTAATTTAAAGAATATTTAGTTATAGGAGGAACAAAATGCAAAAAGCATTCTCAATCTTGATTTTTCTATGCTCTACACCCTTTTGGACCTGGTGACTAAGCTCAGTGGTAGAGTGGGTACCCAGCATCCAGGAGGCCCTGGGCTCACCCTCTAGCACCATGTACACACAAAACTGCAAAACTTTTTTTTTTAATTATGACAACCTGTGTTGGGGACCACAGATGATAAACTGAGGCTCGGGTCTGTGTGAGGCCATGCTTGTGCTGCCTTGTGGGCCAAATTGCCACTTTCTCCTCCCTACAGCTGAGGCCTTGCCTCACAAAGCAGGATGAGATCTGCTTAGGACAATACAGGGTAGGCAAGTTCTCAGGTGGGGGAAAAGATCTTAATTTGTTTCTTCTGTGATGTTAAAATTGTTCCTCAATCTACTACTTTCCCCTGTTCCAGGAAACAGTGCCCCCCCCACTCCCCCTGCTGATTCTCACTGGCCAGACAAAGAGATCTATGTCTTTGCCTATCCCCTGGCACTGACCTCCCAGGCCCGCTTTTATGCATTCCTAATATTATATCTGTTTTTTATTTCTGCCTTCACCATACCCCTCATACAGACAGCTGGAGGTTTTGGCCAGGTCCCTCCCAAACCTAGACATAGTGGTGAATACCTGTAATCTCAGTTACTCAGAAGGCTACGTGGCAGGAAGATTTCGAGTTCAAGGCCAGTCTGGACAATTCAGACTCTGTCCCAAAATTATAAACTGAAAGAACTGGGGCTGGGGATACAGCTCAGTGGCATAAGCACTTGTCTGGCAAGCCTGAGGTCATGAGTTTGATTCCCAGTACCAAAAAAAATAAATAAAAGAACTAGAGATTTAGTTTGGCACTCCATGTGTTCAATCCCCATATCCCAAAAGAGAAAAACCTGTAATTAATAGTACATTAAGTTAAGAAGGAAATTTCCACAATACTGGGAAGAAAAAAGCCTTTCAATTCTTCTTTCCTAAAGAAATGACACTCGGGTGTGGTGGCGCACGCCTGTAATCCCAGCACTGGGGAGGCTGAGGCAGGAGAATCATTGCGAGTTTGAAGCCACCCTGGGCTACAAAGTGAGCTCAAGGCCAGCCTGAACTGCATAGTGAGACCCTGTCTCAAAAAGACAAAGAAACAACAACAAAAAAAGAAATGACACCTTCAAAACTGGGGTAAAGCCCCATGCCATACAAAGGGTGATTTTTTCCTCTTGCAAATTGTACAATGTTTTCCTTGTATAAAAAGTCCTAAGTTAACAACATGTCTTTATATGTACCTGTACTTACATACACAAAAAAAGTCCACTGTTCTTCATTTCTGTACTATTTTAGTGATGCTCTTAAATATTTGGTAAAATCCAAGGATGACTGAATAGCAACTTCACTGAAATGTTTTTTGATTAATTGATTTAAATCTTCATTTAGAAATGACTCCCCTTGTAAAACTTTATCCTGGAAACAGAGTTAAAACATGAGTTAAAAGTTACTTATTACATAAGTAATTCACACTATAAGCAAATCTGAAATGGCAGTAGCTAACATCAGCAAGTGATATATAATAATGAAATCCTTGGTCAGGTCTTAGACACTGAATGAAACAGTCTCATTAACCATCTCCACTGAATTCCAACCCCAAACATCTATCCTAATTATCAATTCTTAAACATGAAAAAGAACTATCTATAAAACAAGCTAGTATTAGAGTCATTAAGAGGCACATTACTTAGTTTTATTTTTTCTTTTAAAAAATGAAAACTATCACATACCTTCCTTTTGGAGTTTGAAAATTCAACAGGAGGATTGAATGTCATTGCTGCCATGCTGTAATTCTCAAAAAGTTCAACTGCAGATCTAGAATCACAAATATAAGAAATGCAGGGATACCAGGTAGAGGGAGAAGGAGAGGGAGAGGGAGAGAGAAAGACACGGGGGGGGGGGGTGGACAGACAAATGGAAACAGACTGTACACAACAAATGAAATCAACTAATGAACCCACTTAAATCTTAAACTTCCGTGTAATGTCAACATTATCAAACTAACTCCACCTCTAGAGAAATCTGGCAGACAGGCAGGAATGCAGTCCTGGAGCCCAGGAAGAAAGCTAAGCAGAAGGCTTCCAGCTTAATGTGATCAAATCCCCACTCAACCACAGTGTAGTATGTGAATGGTAACCAACTTTGTGCAGCCAGAGAAATGAAGCATGGAGCTATCCTCCGTGGACTTCAAACTGCTCAATCCACTAGCTGCTGGCCGAGGAGGGAAACAAGGAGAGGAAATTTAGGGCAGAAAATATGTCTATAACCTGGCATATAAATGAATCCCTATTGATTTGGGGTTAGTTCACACTGTCCAAAGGACACAGGTAAAGTCCTGCCAACAGCTGTGATAAGCCTCACACCCCAACCTCCAGTTTCCAGGAAAAGAATACTGTGTCTCCCTTCCCAAGCTTTGGGAATACACCATTCCTCATCTTCCTCTTGGAAAAGAAACTGGCACAAAAGAAGTAAATGTTTAAGATTGCTAATGAAGGCATGCCAAAAGACAATCACTAAAAAGAAAAATGACAAGCAATGTTCTTTTTTTTCCCTTTTTAAGAAAAAAAAAATTACATTTAAAAAAGAAAGGCTGGGAAGTATGAGGGAAAGAAAAGGTACATGGCCATTTTATTATTTAATAAAGACACAAGTTATCTCTATTGTACACAGAAGGAAAGCATTTTTGGAAAACTTCACAGTTCAATCTAATTTAGGATGAAAAGCAACTATATTGCCATGTAAAAACTCAGACAAGTCACCAAATTTAGTATTTGAAAAGAAGCTGGAAATACAAATTTAAGGTGATTCTTCCAATATTTAAAAGATAGCAACTAATTCAATTTTTGCTCAAACTCTGAAGAGGGCAGAAAATCAGTCTGGCCCATAGGTCAGTTCTGATCCCTGAATTAAAGAAAACAGCAGGCCACTTACAAGAGAGAAAAAAACCACAGCAAAAAGCAAAATATTAATTATGAGTTTGGGAACATTTCGAGGTACAATGGTTTGAATGTATCCTCTCTAAAATTCAGGTACTGAAACTTAATGGCCAATGGGACAGTATTAAGATTTGGGGGTGGGAGGATTTTCTGTTTGTTTTGTTTAGAAGTACAGGGCTTTGATCCCAAGGCCTTTGTACCATCTACATTCCCTGCCCTTTTTTAATGTATTATTTTGAAACAGGATCTTATTAACTTAACCAGGCTGAGCTTGAACTTGAAGTTCTCCCACCTCACCTTCCTGCAGTGCCAGAATAACATGTGTGCATTACAATGGAAGTTTTTCAAAACACGTTTTTCTCCCTCACTGCTTATGTGCTGTCTTTCTGGCCATATTTTCTTACTCAAATAAATAAAGCAGGATGTAGAGGGGTAGAGAAAAGAAAAATGAAAGAAGGAAGCAAAGAAGTTCACTTGTAGATAAAGGCAATATCTTATTAACTGTTGACACTTAAGTGATGGTAGCACTTACTACCATTCTTTTTATTTTTCCTGTGTGAAACTTTTCACAATTTCATTTTAAAAAGTTTGGAGTGCTTATCCAATACAAACTAATAAAATTAACACCTAGCGTATTTTCTCTATAGAACAATTCAGAAATACGAAGTGAGACCAAACCAGGCACCCAACTTTCACTTTACATTTTATAATCTAGTACTTTATAAAA